AATTTGTACTTCCGGTTTGAAACGAATTTTTGAAGCTGCGACACGGCCATGAGATAATAGTGTATATTCCAGCGTGCAGACTGGACGTCTGTGCCAGAGTGAGTCTTATTACGTCTTACAGTGTGCTGCATTAATGCTTGAGTAAGACTTGGTTCAAACCAATCAGTGAGCTCTATTGTGCAACTTCATTAATATTCATTACTGTCACAGTGTTTACACGACAGAGACGCCAAGATGTGTTGGCAAAACAAGCGTGAAGTGTTGCTTTTATAGTTTGCTGCAGTTAAGTTTTGTTGTCATTTTCTCTCTGTGAGAGCTCAGCTGGAGTCACGCGTGGATTACAGTGTACGCGACGCTCGACAACAATAACTTACGTGTCTAAGGAGGAACATTGTTTACCTGAGAGCTGTTCTCATCTGCAAACACTGAGATCCGGATTCGCTTGTAGTCTTCTCTTAATAAAGACGCGGCTCTAGTTGCTGGTGATTGTCCTGTCTCTACAGATTTGGTAAGTGAGCGACCAGTGCTCTTTATTTATTCAGTTTAGTTCGTATCGAACAAACTATTACACCGAGTGTAAATATGTTAGCACCACAACCAAACTTTAACCTCGTGTAGGATTTTCACCGCATTTTGTGACCGGAATAACACACGCGGTTTGCTGAGTTTTTTTTTTTCTCTCATACACCATGCGGTATCAAACATTGCATGAAAATACACGCTTAGAGCAGTTCCTCGAATCAAATATCTCGTTTGTCGGGAGGGACATGAATGAATTCCCTGAATGAAAGAGCCAAACTGCAGTTAAAGTCCACCATTTAATAATTTGGCAATTAATTCGACAACAGATGTCCATGTAAACACTGTCACATTGTCCGGTGTGGTTGTGTGTTTTGACTCTGAAATTCAGCGCGCCCAAATAGACACTCCCACACCAAGCCTCTTTTCTTCCTCCGACACTCCCCCCTAAACAGAGCTGGACACACCCACTTTTCTGACTTTTTTTCCAAAGTAGAGGTGTGAAAACACCCTGCTGAAACGAAGGGGTTTCATGGCCCTTTAACAAGCACTTCAACAAGCCTGTTTTTTCCCGTTTGGCAAGCCAAGCTGACGTGACATGGGGGCGTGGCAGCATCGACGATTCTATTTTTTGATTCGATAATCGAAATTGAGCATACATTTCGATCGATTTCACACCCCTAGTATTTTCCCGTATTTCTCCCGTATTTTCAGTCTTTCTATGAAGGGTGGCAAATAAACATTAAGGGCCCTATCATACACCCAACGCAATGTGGCGCAAGGCGCGGCGCAATACTTGTTTGGTAGTTTCAGCTTGGCGCAAGAGTCGTTTTGAGGCGTTGCGCTACGCTGTTTAAATAGCAAATGCATTTGCGCTCAGATGTGTGCCCATAGGCGTTCTGGTCTAAAAAGGAAGGCTTTCTGAGGTGCACTGCTGGCGCGTCGCTATTTTGAGAAAATAAAATAGATTTTTCATTAGACTAAAACAAACCCGTTCTAATCTCCAGCGCAGAGTTGCGCCTAGCTTACGCACTGCTTAATACACACATTTTACACATTTTTTTTGTGTGTGTGTGTGAGTGTATATACATACATATATACACATATACATATATATATATATATACATACATACATATATATATACACATATACATACATATATATATATACATATATATATATATACATATATATATATACATATACAGCTGAAGTCAGAATTATTAGAATTATTAGCTCCCCTGAATTATTAGACCGCTTGTTTATTTTTTCCCTGATTTCTGTTTAATGGAGAGCAGATTTCTTCAACACATTTTTAATCATAATAGTTTTAATAACTCATTTTAATAATGGATTTATTTTATATTTGTCATGATGACAGTAAATAATATTTTACTAGATATTTTTCAAGACACTTCTATACAGCTTAAAGTGACATTTAAAGGCTTAACTAGGTTAATTAGGGTAACTAGGCGAGTTAGGGTAATTAGGCATATTATTGTATAACGATGGTTTGTCAACTGTATTATAATTTAATATTACAGTAATATTTTTTAAATATTATATATATATATATATATATATATATATATATATATATATATATATATATATATATATATATATATATATATATATATATATATATATATATATATATATATATATATATATATATATATATATATATATATATATATATATATATATATATATATATATATATATATATATATATATATATATTTATATATATATTTTTTTTTTCCTAGGTTAAATATTTTAAATATTGTGTACAAACAAGTAAACTATACTTGCATCCATGCATTTTTTTCCCCAATATAAACTTTCTTTGAAATAAAAAAATAAAAAAATGTTTTAAAAACTATAATACACTAAATTTGCGCACAATAATCTGTCCAGGTCGGTGCCCTAAGCCGTAAATACATAGAGAACTTTTAAACAAATGTTATTGTAAGAAAAATCAATAAAACGATTATGATAAATAGAGTTAAAATTACTGTTTAAAATAAAGGTTTAAAGTTTTAATGAGATTTATTGTTGATGATTGTATGGGGTTTGGCCAGATTGAGTAGCAATACAAAGAAAAATGAAGACCCGTTTAAAAAAGATTTAATATGTACACCACAATATTTCAGTAAATTTAAGACTATTTAAGGCCTAAAATTTGGATTTTGAGATTAAAGACATTTTAAGACTTAAGACCCCGCAGAAATCCTGTGCTTTTGCAAGGAGATCATTATTGCAATGTGTGAAATATTCTCAAAATCAGAATAGGTACAATTCAGTTCCACCATAACTTTTAACACTTCGCTAAAATATGAGATTATTATTGACATGAGAGTTCAACAGGGGGTTTTAAAATATGCCACAAAGACAAATGAATCTATTTTGTAAATAATTAACAGTTAAACACACGCTTTTTTCTTTCTTTCTGTTTTGAGGTGAAATGCTTTTCAGATTTACTTGGTTATCCATTTTAACACTAGTATCCCATAGCATTAAAAAATTAAAAATTTAGCATTGCAGTTATTGAACCATTTCTGTGGCTCATCTTTCGGTTGAATAACATCAACATAGAACCACGAAGAATAACCATAATAGATAAAAAGAGGGGTCTGAAATCATCCAAAAGCAATGATGCAGTCCCTTTAGAGCAAAGCACCACTCAGGACAGAACTGGAGCGCTGCCAGTTTACACACAATGCTGGATCTCAGAGTCAAACACCAAAGCTCTTCACACGTTGCTACACACTGACCTACATAGTTTCCAGTCAGCTGATTGCTTCTTATGCTAAAGCCTAGAGCCAATGGGAAGTGGAGGTGGGGACCGAACAGCCAATAGCAGCCCTGACACTCACGATATGCCCATGGTTTCTCTTTTTTTCCCTCATTCAGTGGCAGGCAGATGCAAACACTCTGCAGGACGGCTTTATCTGCACCGAGCACGGATGACTGTTCGATTTGCAAACATATCTAAAGATGTTTTGTTTTTTAAAGCAAATATAAAAGTATTTAAACACATATTTTGTTTTTAAATGTTGCTTTTATCTATGTGTTGCTAATATGCACTGCCTATCAGAATTTTTGCATACAAAATTGCATCTTAAATATGTATAAACAACTTAAAAAGAGCAAATATGTAACTCAAAACCCACTAATCAAGAACTCTTGATGCACAGAGATTGTTTATTAAGGTGGCAAATCATGCTTAAATGTGACAACATCTGCACAACAGCAGCTCAATAGCTTCACATCTGCAGGGATTTCCCGGGGTTATTCTCTAACTCAAATCCAGCTACACTAGGAGTATTCATTAGACTTGATTCCATGTTGGGTAAATTGCTTTTCCAGGCCAAACTAATCCCTGAAATCAAGCAGGGATGAGAGAAAAAGAGACTTGCACACTGGTGGGTTTCAAATGTCATAATAAAAAGAGAAAATGGTGCGATTGTATTGGTTTTATTGATGAAAAACCTCAAATGATCAAACCTCAATACTAGGAAATGAAGAGGCAAGCAGGGGCCATTTTAAAGGTCTTCTTTATCAGTGGCACCTTTCTTTATTTATCTGCTGATACACCCTTTGGCATGAGCACAGCGGTATGAAGTTTATCAGCAAACCACACATTACATGACAAGTGGTCTACGTTTTCATCATCAGACCACCCTACAATTTTTTTTATGATGCCAAAGAGAGAAAACAAGCAATAAATTAATATTTAGAACATAAATACAGCATGTTAACCATAAAATAGGCAATGTATTGGGGGGGATACAAACATTACAATCAAATTTAGGTCATGTTTTGATTAAAAAAAAAAAAAGTTGTATTTTTGTGTTATAATAAAATGGACAAAAGTCATAGGTTAATTATCTGATGAATCCTTTACGGTCTTTGCTTTTGTAGGGTTAAAAAATATGTTTTTTGCTACTTGTAATTGTGGTGGAAAAATTATAATTAATACTTTGAAGGAAATCTGTTTAAAATTATTAATTAAATATGCTTGGCAGCTTTTAAAATAAGCTGGGAAGTCAGAATCTCATTTTTAAGAAAAGAAAAGCAATAATAATAATGACTTAGTCCCTCTTTTAACACCCTCAACCATGTTCCTGGAGGACCACCAACACTGCATGTTTTGGAGGTCTCCCTTGTCACACCCATTACAGGTCTTTCAGTCTCTGCTAATAAACTGATGATCTAAATCAGGTGTGTTTGGTTAAGGAGACAGGGAAAATAGGCAGAGCTGGTGGTCCTCCAGGAACATGGTTGAGAAACACTGCCTTAAACAGTCAAGATATCCTGGGGAGATACATCTCATGAAATTCTAAAGGAATTAAATATTTCAAAAATTAATTTGGACTTCAGTTACTTGCAATCAATATGATATCAAAGGAGTTTTCTGTCTGATAAAGGGTTAAAAGGAAGCCAAGGTTAAAACATTTGACCTGACGTACCTTCCATCCTGCAGAGCTGTTGCTGTCACCTTTGTCCTTGAAGTATGGCACATTTCGGACCATCCAATCATAAATCTGGGCCAGTGTCAGCCTCTTCTCTGGCGAGCTCTCGATGGCTTGGGTGATGAGGTCGGCGTAGGAATAGTTTCCCCAGGCGTTCCTGCGGGCAGAGGATTTTCTGGGCTGCTGAGGAATCAGACCATTGATGCTGGAGTCGCTGCATGCTGCTAGAGCGTGTTGGGAAGATCCAGGAGAGCCATAGATGTCTTTATCATTGGCAGAAGCGTTCGTTTCTATGGCAGGAAGAGCAGCAGCAGAACTCGGGTCTCCTTCTGTGACACTGGCAGGCTTTGATGCGCCTGTAATGTCACCAGATGCACAAGCATCATCAGTGCCATTTTCATCTACCTCTTCTTCAGGAATGATCCCCACATCTGAAGGTTCTGCTTTGCCCGAATTGGACTCGGGTCTGGGCAGAGGCCATGTGCAAGACCTGGGCCTTTTTTGGGGCTCAAAATCAGGGTCTATGTCGACGTCCACAGCCAAAGGCTTATCTAGCTCCTCTGCCATATTTCCTCGACTCCTTCAAATGAATGATGTATGGACGGCTTTTCGGAACACAACAGCAGCAGTGCCCTCGTGCATGCCATTAATGGATCACTTCTGGAGTCCGCATTTCAATACGGGACGCTTTGAGGATTTAATCGAAGTCTTGAGATGATTGGGAATGTTTACAAACGCGTTCGAGGGCATTGTTGGTTCATCCGTGTGTGAATCGCGCGGATATTTAACGTCTAATGAAGCTTCCGTTGTTCGAACACATAAAGGCAGAGCGGACGTTCGAATTTGTTATAATGTTGCATGACGTCGCGCAGCGAATTCGTTACATTGTATCATTACATCATAATGCGAACGTTACATTGTTTCAGAACGCGGCTTCCGTTCTGGGAAATCTTTTGAATCGAATGCGATCAGAAAAACTGTGCGTTCGCGAAAGTGTCCTCGAATGATCAAGCCATACCTCCACAAGCCGCCCCTCCGCAAATCAGCACTGATAAGTCCTAATAGACACACCGTTCATCCCGATAAACCTCCATGATGATCCCTGTTCCATGTCGGAGCAGGACGTCGCGTCCCGCAGCCCGGGCGATCCAGCACTGGCAAAGCCTGTAATGCGCTGCATCTCCGCTGCAAAACTACAGAGAGGAACAGCAACACACAGAACACCCGCCCCCTGGAAGCGGTCGGAGGAACTGCTTCTTAAAGGGCCACGCAGAACTGCCACACACGTCATCTAACGTTACACACATTACACATATGCCATCATCATTATATGCCTCTTGAGGATTGTGATTTATCTTGTTTGTGGTATGCCTATAAAAGATGAAATCACATGTTTGGGTATAAAGATTGTAAATGAGGAAAAGAGAATTTGTGAGAAATTTCTTCATTATTATTGATAAGACAAAGACAACACGAAATCATTGGTTATTATGAGACCTATCTTTGAGAGGGAGAGAGCTTATAACAAAAGCAAAGGAAATCTCAAGACTTATGTATACACCTCTTTCTTTAGCAGTCAACAATAATATTTCCAAAACTATTGATAATATGCTTTTTAATGTTTTATAAAAAAAAAATAAACCCAATTATATAAGGAAATCGGTAGTTATGAACAATTGAAAATGGAGGTTTAAACTTCTTAGATTTGACCACTCTTAAGTATACCTTCAAAATTAACTGGATCAAGCAATTAAAAAACAACAACAACTTCTATATGAAATATTATTCCTCAATGCATTTTCTCACAGTTTGAAGGTCTCTATTTACTTTTACTTTGTAATTATGATATTTTTAAACTGGGGTGCATTTCCCAAAACTATCGTTAGCCAACTAAGTTCGCAAGTTCCGTCGATACAAACATAGTTCGTTAAATTGCCGTTTCCCAAATCCATGGCTCCAACAAACATTCACAAACTGCGATGCAAACTTGAGCACTTGCGACTACACCTCTGGAGCTGTAGTTAGAAACATAGTTCCTGGCTGTATTCTATTCCCACTTATCCCCCCTATGCCCTATTCGTTTAGAACACTCTAAAATTCAAAGTTCGAATTATTAAAAATAAAAAAAGCATTAAGGTCATCTCTCTTAGGTGTAATTTGCCTTCAAAGTATTTTTAAAGTTCAGTTTTAGTGATCTTCATGTTTACAATTGCGCTCACTTCGTAGTGCACTTTGAAAACATTGATGTCATTTTGAACACAGCCTCATGACGAAAGCTATAGGTGACATATTATTTAAAAGCGGAATTTTTGTTACGGCACCAAAGCTTGTGAAAACAAAAACACAGCATACTTTAATGCTTTTAGTTTATAGTAGCTTATTTATTAGGTATCTGTACTGTATATGACATGAGCCTGCTAGTTAGAACTATCTGCAATAGTTTACATGTCAAATTGTAAAAGTAGACTTTTCAAAAAATAAATAAACAATATCCTACTTAATAATAATAATAATAATAATAATAATAATCAATAATATTATTAAAGTAGGATTTTGTTTTGTTTTCTAATAAATATTACATTTCATTTGATAATAAATCGCCTCATTATTTTATTATTTTCAATTTACTTGACATTTACTGCCATAATACTGAAAGCAGCAGCAGATAGTTCACCACAAATCTGGAAAATAAAGTAAATCGTTTAAAATTGAACTTCAGAACTGTGACTCAGTGCAAGCCAACACATATCAGTGACTCAGCATCTACATTTAATAATGTTAAAGAGGTTTAATATGTATTAATTACATTATAAACATTACAATTTCGTGAGTGCATTTTCTGTGCTTCTGAATGACTGTATTGAAATCTGTCGTTCTTCGTCGGGAGCAAACAGCCAAAATGCTCATCACTGCAAATCTAGTCACGTAGCATGTTTTGACATGGGGTTACAATGTGACCTGCTCACCTAATGTTTAAGTTTGTAATATTTATATTATTTGCCAATTAATAACCTTATGTGGAACTCTACACCTGAATCTGCATCTCATTTTGGAGTCTGCTACTGTCCAACGGAGGTCACATTTCAGTCGCTTGGCTTTGAGAGCCTTTCTGACTGAATGAATTAATGAAATATGCTGTTTTCCACCAAGGCAACCCGGTGTGCTGAAACATAATTGGCTAAACTGGCATTAGGGGGGTTAAATGAACCAAAACAAAGACAGGTAATGCACATTTTAAAAGCAGAATATCTGACTTCAGCATTGTTTTTCAGATAAAAAAAGAAGGTTCACTTTGCATGTTTCTTAAATATATACAAACATATTTTGGTATTGTTAAGCTTTAGAAGAGTCAAAACTTACATATAGTACCTTTAAAATGTATTTATCTTGATAAAACAGTACTGCGGCTGCTGCTTCTCCAAGTGACCACGAGTGGAAGAACCAGAAGTGGTAATGTAATGTGTATTTTTTTATATAGCGCATTTATTGTGTATGGCCATACACCCAAAGCGCTTCACAATCATGAGGGGGGTCTCTCCACACCACCACCAGTGTGCAGCATCCACTTGGATGATGCGACGGCAGCCACAGGACAACGGCGCCAGTGCGCTCACTAAACACCAGCTATTGGTGGAGAGGAGAGACAGTGACAGAGCCAATTCGTTGGAAGGGGATGATTGGGAGGCCATGATCGTAAGGGCCGATAGAGGGACTTTGGCCAGGACACCGGGGTTACACCCCTGCTCTTTCACGAGAAGTGCCATGGGATTTTTAATGACCACAGAAAGTCAGGACCTCGGTTTAACGTCTCATCCGAAAGACGCAATTTTCACAGATACCCCCAATAAAACCTCCAAACATGACGACTTCCCTTAACCAAAATATACACTTACCGTCCACTTTATTAGGTACACTTTTTTTTTTCACAGAATTTGGAATCAACAACATGAAAGCATGCATCAATCCTGCCTTGTGTCAATGGTTCAGGCTGCTGCTGGTGGTGTAATGGGGTAAGGGGGGTATTTTCTTGGCACACTTTGGGCCCATTAGTACCAAAGTGAGCATCATGTCAACACCACAGCCTACCTATTGTTGCTGACCATGTCCATCCTTTTATGACCACAGTGTCTCCATCTTCTGATGGCTACTTTGAGCAGGATAACGCACCATGTCATGACGCGTGAATCATCTCAGATTGGTTTCTAGAACATGACAATGAGTTCACTGTACTCAAATGGCCTCTACAGTCACCAGTTCTCAATCCAATAGAGCGCCTTGGGATGAGGTGAAACAGGAGGTTTGCATCATGGATGTGCAGCTGACAAATCTGCAGCAACTGTGTGATGCTATCATGTCAAGACGAAATAAAATCTGAGCAATATTTCTAATACCTTGTTGAATCTGTGCCACGAAGGATTAAGGCAATTCAGAAGGCAAGAGAGGGTCCAACCCGGTACTTGTAAGGTGTACCTAATAAAGTGGCCGGTGAGTGTACATAGCATTCTCATACATTACGAACACAAACAATAAGTAATTACACTGTAAACATACCTGCAGACATCCTCGACCTGAAACAGAAGCACTACAGGAACCAATCAGACATCAATAAAAGTTGTTCAAATATTTTAATGCATTTGAATGCAAATGTTCATCTTAAATAGGTTGCATATCAGCCATCTGACCACCAAATGTCATCAATAAAACACAAACCACTTACATAACCAGAAAGGCAGCCTGATTTCAAACGTTTCATTGGCAGATCCACATCCATCTTTATCCAACATACCATCTGCCCATCCTTCCAGACCAAAAACCTCAGAGACGAGGCTAGTGTCACGTTCATTTGCATGTGCGTTTATAAAGTGCAGCATTATTAAAAACACAGTCCTCACCAAATCAAAATGGAGTTGATCCCAAGCCCCAGAGAGAGGCTGAGTCTTATGATAGTTGAGATGGGCGCTGTATATGGAGTTATAATGATAAAAGCTAGTTGGTGCTCCGATCTCCTGCAACCCAGTACTCCTCCGTCTGCATCTCGGTGAGGCGAGAAACCGTCCTTTGAAAGGCGAACACCTCCTCCTCACCCGTGAAGATGGCCAGCGAGCTGCCTGCATCCTAATGCATGATGACAGCAAAGAAAATCTATGTGAAGCGATCGACAATTCATCAAATCTAAACTTCATCAATCAATTTTTTTAAATCATGAAGAAGTTTGTGCAGTGGCATTAAAGGGATAGTTCATTCAAAAATGATGGTATAATCTCCCATTAATAGTTTTAAACCTTGATGAGTTTCTTATGTTAAACACAAAAGATATTTTGTAAAATGCTGAAAACTTGTAATCATGGACTTTTATTGGCCTTATTCTAAAATGTGGAAGTGCGCCTGTTATTGCGATTGTCTTAGAACTTCCGATTCAGTCGCCTATGGGAGAAATGACTAGGAATAAAAAACGGCAGAAAATGGTCAAACTGCTTGCTCTACAAACAAATGTTTGCATGACTATACAGACCAAGTAAAATAATACAATAAAAAATATCAATTGCAACATCAAGCAGCGTGACGAGCAGTTTTTAACGTCAAAAAATGAATGGAAGTGAATGAGACCGGAAGTCTCGAGCCAAAAAGATTCAAATGGCAGCGCCTACTCGTCCGCGGAGAATAGTACAGTTTGAGTTCTTCTGTTAAACACAAAAGAAAATATTTAGAGAAATGCTAAAACCTGTAACCATTGTAATCTATGATATTTGTATTATTGATATATGCTGAATAATGTTTATATATGGTGACACGGCTGGCCAATCCTGGAGCACCTTGACATTTTTTGCTTTCAGCAACTTTGATGTGGAGGCTGAAGTATGAGGAGCGCTATCCTGCTAGAGAATTTGCCCTCTCCTGTGGTTTGTAATGTAATGTGCAGCACAAATGTCTTGATACCTCAGGCTGTTGATGCTGCCATCCACTCTGCAGATCTCTCGCACACCCCTATACTGAAGAAACCCCAAACCATAATTTTTCCTTCACCAAACTTCACTGATTTCTAAGAGAATCTTGGGTCCATGCAGGTTCCAGTAGGTCTTTTACAGTATGTGTGATGATTGGGATGCAGCTCAACAGATCTACCTTCTACCACTTTTCCAAATGATCAACTAGAAGTCAAGTTATTATTTGTTTCTTGCAACTGGGATCGAGGACAAGACTTTTGTCAGGTAGTATAAGCCACACACAGACTTGCTAACACAGTGCTGTTCGAAAAATTTGACTCAGTCTTTCTTTTTATAAAGAAATGAGAGTGATGACATTAATAATAATATTCATAAAGTTTCATATGACAAACAAATGCTTCTAACAATACATTAACCAAAGCATTTTTGAAAAAAGCATGTTGTGCAATCCACAAAAAAAGTTAAGCAGCTAAATGGTTTTCAACATTTCTAAGAAAATGAAACCTTTATTGGTCACACTTTACAAAAAGGTTCATTAGTTAATGTTAAGTAATGCATTTACTAACATGAACAAACAATGAACAATACATTTACTACAGTATTTATTCATGTTAATAAACGTTAGTTAATGAAAATACAGTTGTTCATTGTTAGTTCATGTTAACTCATGGTGCATTAACTAATGTTAACAAGCATGGACATTAATGTTAATAATGCATTAGTAAATGTTCAATTATGTTTAATAAATGCTAAACAAGTGTTGTTCATGATTAGTTCATGTTAGTAAATGCATTTACTAATGAACCTTATTGTAAAGTGTTACCCATTTATTGAACATGAAATTAGCATTTAAGAGGGATCTCATTTTCTGAACTGTTATTATACTAACTTTCCACATGGTTTATACTGTAAAGACTACAACTGCAACAAAAAAGGATATCCCATTTAATTCTAAAAGAATCTAAATAAGAAATGATTCATAAATTACCCTTGAAATGCCCAGATCGTCCAGTAAAACATGGGTCTCATGAGGATCGTGATCATCGTGATGTTCATGGACAAACAGATCATCTAATGGGGTTTCAGCCTTTAGCACCACTCGAACCTGTGGACATATTCATCAAAAATAACACAGTGACTCTTTTAAACGGGACCTATTATGCAAAAATCACCTTTGTAAGGGGTTTAAACACAATTGTGTGGAAATAGTCTGTGAATAGCCAGCCTATATATAAATTAGTGTGGAGAAACACTTTGATTGACATGCTCCCTTTGCATGTTTCAAACGGAGAAAGCCCCCCTATTAGTGACACTCTCTTCCTCATTAGCATAGGAGGTTAGTCTTGCTTTTGAATCTACCACTATGCTGACACATTGGCATTTATAGCTCCGCCCTCTTCTGAAAAAGAGCAAAATCTCAATTGAATTTAAAGCGACAGTCACCAAAATAACACAATTAGGATCAAAGCTAAACTGGGCAGTTTCAAAGAGTTATAAAACATTATCTGTGTGGTATTTTGAGCTGGAACTTAACATACACACTTTAGGGTTGTCAGAGACTTATTTTACCACATGGAGGGTTATAAGTAAGGTTTACAATGGATTTATTTAAAAGCTTCAAAAACAGCCACTATCCAACACCATTACACAGCATGGATGAGCAAGGGTATAATTTAAAACTACACTGATTCACTTGTCTGACAGAAGAAAGTCATATACATGAGAATGGCCTAAGGGCGAGTAAATTATTCAATTCTAGTTTATTTGTATAGCGCTTTTCACAATTATTATTGCCCCAAAGCAGGTTTACAAAGGGTCCATGTTACTACATTACAGTCAAAATCATAAAGTTAAGGTGTTGTGTATAGGGCGGACAGTACATATACATAGTTAACCTGCAGTATATATAGTGTCCTTTTCCAAAAGGTGATAACTGCGTGTATAATATAGTACTGCACAATATATTGTTTCAGCATCGATATCGCAATGTGATCATTCACAATAGTCACACACAGGATATGCAATGTGCAGTCTGGATTATAATTCATCATTTGCATGCGTTTATGAGGCCTGTAACTGTGAGGATTTGAAAAGCAGTCAGGCCTAAGGAATTGTTCTGTTTGTAACTTTAATAACGATTAATTTTATGGAATTATTTAAAAGTTGAAGACATTTAACATTTGATTATTGAATTACTGCACGCGAATATTGTTAAACTCCTCGGAAATCAATAAAACGTTTTTTTTTTATTCTAATATTTTTCTTTATTGTGTTTATCTATTCTTGTGGATAGTTTACTATATTTCATGCAGATGCACACCCTTACAAAATCATCCTAATCAATCTAAAATGATATATTATTTACAAATAGAGATATTCAAGTCACCTGGTGAAATTGTATTTATATTCCAATATACACTAACCGGCCACTTTATTAGGTACACCTTACAAGTACTGGGTTGGACCCCTTTTGCCTTACTGCCTTAATCCTTCATGCATTGGTTGAACAAGGTACTGGAAATATTCCTCAGAGATTTTGGTTTATATTGACATGATAGCATCAAACAGCTGCTGCAGATTTGTCAGCTGCACGTCCATGATGCAGATCTCCTGTTCCACCACATCCCAAAGGTGCTCTATTGGATTGAGATCTGGTGACTGTGGAGGCCATTCGAGTACAGTGAACTCATTGTCATGTTCAAGAAACCAGTCTGAGATGATTCACGCTTTATGACATGGAGTGTTATCCTCCTGGAAGTAGCCCTCAGAAGATGGATACACTGTGGTCATAATGGGATGGACATGGTCAGCAACAATACTCAGGTAGGCTGTAGCATTGATACGATGCTCAATTGGTACTAATGAGCCCAAAGTGTGCCAAGAAAATATCCCCCACACCATTACACCACCACCAGCAGCCTAAAGTGGTTGTGCGTGAAAATCCCAGTAGATCAGCAGTTTCTGAAATACTCAGACCAGCCAGACTGGCACCAACAACCATGCCACGTTCAAAGTCACTTAAATCACCTTTCTTCCCTATTCTGATGCTCGGTTTGAACTGCAGCAGGTCATCTTGACCATGTCTACATGCCTAAATGCATTGAGTTGTCGCCATGTGATTGGCTGATTAGAAATTTGCATTAATGAGCAGTTGACAGGTGTACCTAATAAAGTGACCGGTGAGTGTATATGCAGTAAATATCATGCAGCGCTAGAATAATACATTGTCATATTAAGTGTCCTCTAAAACAGAAATCACAGGTCTTTCACGACTTTACCTTGTGCTCATATAACGTGTCGATGAGAGTTATGAAGCGTCTGGCCTGGGTCTTCTTGTTCAAAGTGAGCAAAGGAATGTTTCTGATGAAAACCGTGTCAAACACAGCAGAGATCTCCAGGTAGTCGCTGGCTCCTATAGGCTAATAATGAAAACAAATGCATCACATACTAATTCTAGTTCATTTCAATGAGTAACAGTGAGTACACTTACATGGACACCAATTCTTTGATTTTAATGCGATTAAGACCATACTCTGATTAAGAGTTTACCATGTAAACAGTGATTTTTAATTACCTTAATCCTACTAAAGTAATCATGTAAACATGACTAAGACATGGAGTATTCTTACTTTAGTCACATTATTGAAGTGCAGCACGTATACATCGCAATCACATTCTTATCGTTTTGTAGTACTTTTTGCTACATTTTGCGACAGGACACACACACGGAAGTTGTTAGGCTTTGGGCAACAAACAAATGAGATTGATCTCAAGCAAGAGAGCACATTTTTGATGAGAGTGGGAAACGATGACTATGCTGAGAATTCTGGAAGAAATGGACATTATGAAGTGCCTTGACTTCAAGTGACTTTCGTGTGGGCATGAATAAAAAAGCTAGTGAATGAAAAAGCAGCGGTGGCCTGTTGCTTGAGAATTTGTATCCGCCGTTGTCTGTTTTCATGAATAGTGTGAGAAATGAACTGCAGCTGAACTTGTCAAGTTAAAAACCAAATGCCCAAAATCCCACATGGTGACCAACATGAACTGTTGTTGCATAAAACCGCAGAGGAAACTAGCGATAAATGCGGAAGTAATGACGTTGATCGAACTACATACTAGGCTTGGGGGGTATTGCGTTATTATGGTATACCGCGGGATCTAAAAATAGCAACGGTGTCAGTTTCATTACCGTTATACCGTCATTAAATATTAAATATCCTTTATTTAATATCTACAAAAACGTATGTGTGATTGTCATCACGGGACAGTGTGGAAAAAGAGAGAGAGAGAGAGAGAGAGAGAGAGAGATAGAGAGAGAGAGAGAGTGAATGAGAGGAGTGTCCCGCGCAGAAGAATACAAATAAGACAAACAGGTGATTGCGAGCCTAAGGTTGCATATAAGGTATTCAGTTTCTGAATGTTTTAGGCTAAAGCCAACAGTTTGGTGACGCTGTCTGAGCCTTACATCATAATTTTGTTATGGCGGCAAATCAATGCCAATATTCTAGAAAGGTAGAGTAGCCAATAGCGTTAGAGATAACAAGTAAACCAAGTCCCGGCCCAGGACTGACAAAAATCTAAAATGTTTCGCGCGAGCAGAGAGAAGAACCAGCGAGCGAGCGGAGAGAACTGATCGCGCGCGCGTGCGCATGACTTCGCTTGCGAGAGCATACATCGTGCACACAGATGATGATGTTTTATGACGGGACTTGTTTTCTCGTGCTGGATCAGTTGAGCGCGCGCGTGAAGATCCCGTGCGCTCGCGAGCTGTAGCTTTCTCGCGTGTAGACCTGTAATCTGCTCACGGTTCACTTCTCCTTGCGCGCAAACATTACCGCTGCGCTCGATTAATATTGGCATTGATTTGTCGCCATATACTTTTACTAGGCCCGGTAATACCGGATACCGGGGTAATATATGGAGGCGGTTTGACGGAATTAAAATTTAAGCCTACTATGCACTATAACATGTAAAACGAGAACATTAAATAAGCAACTCATGTAAACACCTTAATCATATTGTGGTCTTATTCGGATTAAGGCAAATATTTAGATTACTGATGTCCATGTAAACATAGTCGATGAGTTTGAATGGAAAACATAAGCTTACCCGGTCACAAAGCTCCTCAAAAGTGCAGTCTGCAATGGTCCCACATGCTTTATCAAGTGTCAGTATCCTGCCATGTACCTTTAGAGATCTGGGTCGGGTAACTGAGATAAACACAATCAAAATTGCATTACAAAATACAAGACTTACAGCTGGTGTAAAATAATTTACAATCTGTAAATTCACACATAATGCACATTCACATCTCCAGCAAGATGATATTTAATGCAATTACACGTTCTTTTGTTACAATCAGATTATATAGAAAAATTCAGTGTGTGTGCGTGTTTGTGTTAAAGGCCAACTTACTATCATTCTGTTTGAAGGCCATCTCATCAAACAGCTTATCGAGTGTTGCGTCAACATCAGGTTCACTAGAACTAAATTCCAAAATATGTGATGAATAATTCAACTCTTCATAATACAGTGTTTTATTCATTGATATTTGTCCAAAGCACTGTTCATAATGAGGTCTGCTTTGAATTCTAAAACACTCTCTTTTTTCATCTTAACATGAAACAACAACTCTAAGGGTTTCTACATTTTTTACCAAGTCAAATTTAAAACTTTAAGCCCTTTTTAAAGACTTTTATTAACTAACTTTAACACCTTATCACTATTTTGATGTCATTTGTTAGTGTCATTGGATTATTAGGACTAAAACTACAGGATCAAAACAAACAAAACACATTTTAAATCATTGTGGGAGCATTTAAGAAAAAATTAAAGCTAGCGTTCTGTTAACATTGGACAATTATGACCTGTTTAAAATTACATAAGAACTATAGGACCTGTTTAAAATTGTTTAAGAACTAGAATACAACATTTAAGTTTAAAGCTTTAAATTGTCATTTTGAAATTGCAGACTTTTTTAAAGGATTATTATTAACTAAATGTAATACCTTTATAACAACAGTGGTGTCATTTGTAGTAGTAGTAGTCGTAGTAGTAGTAGTAATACAGTCGACTACAGACAGTGGAATACTTGGACTAGAGAAAGACAGAACTAAAACAGCACAGAATCAAAACAAACACAACACATTTTATATCATTCTAACTGAATTTTAAAAGGTTTTAGAGCTAGTGTTACATAGACATTGGAAAATTAAGGCCTGTTTCAAATTATTTAAAGGGTCACGAAACACCAAAACACATTTTTTGAGCTGTTGACAGTTGTATAAGTGTCCCACACTGCTAAAAACACTATTAGGTCACATATATCTCACTAAAAAGTGGAAATTGGTAGTTTTTGCGTTTTTCGAGCAAATTCGTACTTCCGGTTTGAAACGAATTTTTGAAACAGCGACACGGCCATGAGATAATAGCGTGTAGACTGGACATCTGTACCTGGGTGTACCGTATTACGTCTCCGAGTGTGCTGCATTAATGCACGAGTAAGACTTGGTTCAAACCAATCAGCGCGCTCTATTGTGCAACTTCATTAATATTCATTAATGTTATAGTGTAGACGGCGTCATGGCAGAGACGCCACATTGTGTTGCCAAAACAAGCGTGCAGTGTTGCTTTCCTAATTTCCTGAAGTAAAGTTTTGTTTTCATTTCCTCTCTGTGAGAGCGCAGCTGGAATCACGTGTGGGTTACAGTGTATGCGACGCGACGCACAACAACAACTTACGTGTCTAGGAACATTCTTTACCCGAGACCTTTTCTCTTCTGCAAATGGAGATCCGGATTCGCTTCTCGTCTCCTCTTAATAAAGACGCGGCTCTAGTTGCTGGTGATTGTCCTGTCTCTACAGATTTGGTAAGTGAGCGACCAGTGCTCTTTGTTTATTCAGTTTGTTTGTATCAAAGAAACTATTACACTGAGTGTAAACATGTTAGCACAACAACCAAACTATTATCGTCGTGTAGGATTTTCACCGCATTTTGTGACTGGAATAACACACGCGGCTTACCTGCGGAGTGCATCCAAGTTACAGAGAAATGCAGAATTTATTTTTTTCTCTCATTCGTCGTGCGGTATCAAACATTGCAAGAAAAATACACGCTTAGAGCAGTTCCTCGAATCAAATATCTCGTTTGTCACGAGGGGCACGAATGAATTCCCTGAATGAAAGAGCCAAACTGCAGTTAAAGTCCACCATTTAATAATTTGGCAAATAATTCGACTACAGATGTCCATGTAAACACAGTCACTTTCTCCCCTGTGTGTGTGTGTGTGTGTGTGTGTGTGTGTGTGTGTGTGTGTGTGTGTGTTTTGACTGAAACTCAGCGTGTGGTAAAATAGACACTCCCACACCATCCCTCTTTTGCTCCTCCGACACTTTCCCTAAACAGAGCTGGACACGCCCGCTTTTCTGGTGTGAAAACAACCTGCTGAAACGAGAGTGTTTCATGGCTCTTTAAGAGCTAAAACAAATTTCAGAGCTTTTAGACCTTAACATTTAGAAATTGTAAACTTTAGACATTTAAAAAAAAATAATCGTATTGGGAAAAAGTGACCCTTCATACTTGCATAAGCAAAATAAATCGGTTAAAGTTTTTAGTTAATTGGTTAAAGTTATAAGTAACTAATAAAGTTATGGTAACTAATGACCTTAAATGTTCTGGATTTTATTGTAATGTAGACAGAACTAAAGCAGCACAGAATCAAAACAAACACAACACATTAAAAGGTTTTAGAGCTAGTGTTACAAAGACATTGGAAAATTAAGGCCCGTTTCAAATTATTTAAGAACTAGAATACAACACATCAGTGAATTTAAGAGCCTTAAATTTAGAAATTGTAAACTTTAGACATTTAAAGAAACGGCTGATCTAATGATTAGTTATTATTGATAACTAATATAGTTTTGGTAACTCATTCATTCATTTTCTTTTTGGCTTGGACTCTTTATTAATCAGGGGTCGCCACAGCGGAATGAACTGCAAACTTATCTAGCATATGTTTTACGCAGCGGATGCTCTTCCAGCTGCAACCCATCACTGGGAAACATCCATACACACTCATTCAACACACACATACACTACAAACCATTTGTACATCAAACAACTTTAAATAAATACATCAGGAATTAATTGAAAAGATACATTTCTGTGATTATGGGCTCTATTTTGATGGTCCATGCGCAGATCGCAAAACGCAGGGCGCAAACGCTTTCAGGGCGTGGCAGAATGCATTTTTGCTAATTTACAGACGGGAAAACCTGCTTTGCGCCAAAGCGCATGAGCTAAAAGGGTTGGGTTTATTTTCTTAATGAGTTATAGGTGTGTTTTGAGAATAAACCAATTAGAGTCTCATCTCCCATTCCCTTTAAGAGCCAGCTGCGTCGCGCCAAGAGCGCATTCGCTATTTACAGGACGCAAAGTAAGTCTAAGTGGAAAAAATGAGCATTTTACAAGCAAACAGTTAACAGATAACAGCTTTTTAACAGAAAACTGTTAAACAGAGCATCTACTGCGTGAGAATGAGAGATAATGGATCTACTTTCACATTCGCTCTTGGATAGGGAAACCTTTACGCACAGACATCAATTAGTCTATAAATAAATACTTTTGTTTGTTAAGCGCAAATATTCATTTCAAAACTATTTCTAAATTCAGTTCTAATTTCTAGCAAACGAATAAATGAACAATAATAACAAAACGTGCACAAAAACCTGAGTTATATCCTAAAACACATGCTGTGCCCCATATGGTCTATAACCTCACAGGTGGGCAAATCTAAGCTTGTTTTTAATAAAACAAATATAAATATGGATATAATAAATAATACTGCTAATAATAATAACATTATACAAAAGCAAATTGTTATGAATGAACTGAAAAAGCCTCCAGAGATGAAGAAGACATAAAAGCAGTGGTTTTTCATATTTATGTAGGCTAGAAAATAATAGGTTTTGTAATATTTTAATCCTTTATATTTATATCCTATATCTATTCTTATTATATCCTATATATATCCTTAATATTTAAATTTTTTCATATGTAAAGATATTTGCCTATTGCTCTCTTGTGCGTATTAAGCAGTGCGTAAGCGAGCAACTCTGCGTCGGAGTTTAGACCGGGTTAGTTTTGGTCTAATGAAAAATCTATTATAGATCCTCAAAATAGCAACGCGCCAGCGGTGCGCCTCAGAACGCCTTCCTTTTTAGAACAGAACGCCTATGGGCGCACATATGAGCGCTAATGCATTTGCTATTTAAACAGCGTAGCGCAACGCCTCAAAACGACTCTTGCGCCAAGCTGAAACTACCAAAAGACTATTGCGCCGCGCCTTGCGCCACACTGCGCCGGGTGTATGATAGGGCCCTATATGTTAGTATGTGATATATTATTAAAAATGCATAACTAATCTATTCTAAAGCAGGAACATCTCATTTTAACAATTTAATGAATTCTTACAGGTAGAAGAGTTTTCCCGCTGCAGGGCGATTTCTCCTCCGGTAATCTATTCCAGAATCCAGACGTAATGTTTGGCAGTACTCCTGATTAAAAGACATTTGACCGTAGCATTACTTGCAGAATGTCCTACAGAAAATAACTAAAACAACATGCAATATCAACGCTTGGACTTCATTTTGGCATCTCGATTTCTAGTCTATCTGAAAAGTCAGAAATCTACAAAACAAATAATTGAGTAGACAGATCAGAGACCTATTAAATGAGAAATTCATTCATTCATTCATTCATTTTCCTTTGGCTTAGTCCCTTATTTTACTAGAGGCTGCCACAGTGGAATGAACCGCCAACTATTCCAGCATATGTTTTATGCAGCGGATGCCCTTCTAGCCGCAACCCAGTACTGGAAAACACTCATACACTCTTGCATTCATACACTTTGGCCAATAGTTCTCTTTCGCAAAGTGTCATGTCTTTCTCTATGTATCCCTTTGGGTGGCATTGTTTAAATATTTCAAACTTTGACAAGGAGCTTGCTGAAGTAATAAACATGTTTTGGGCAGTGCTCTCTTTTAGGCAGAACAATTCCCTTACGTGGAAGATTATGAGCTTTTGAAGCCGTGTAGATTCACTAAAACATTACAAGACATCATGCGCCATCTTAGGCTGCATTTAAACTGCAGATCTTGATGGTCAATTCCGATTTTGTGACTGTATCTGATTTACTTGATGACCTGCTTACATCATCTTTTAAAAGTGACTCGTATCCCATCGTCTGCATTTACACAGCACACGGCAAAGGCAAAATAACCAGGAAAAAAAAAAAGCGGACATTGACTAACACCTGATAATTAAAGAGTGCTCTTTTCTCTATTCCTGTATGTAATGTGTTCGCAACTATTGACAAGCTGTTTTACTATAGTTTATGACAGAAAGGTTCTCATTTGTCCATCTTCTTATGATATATAGGCTTTTTTATACCTTTAGGCATCTTAAAGTAATGTCAATGGCGTGATTTATGCACGTGATATAGAAGCAGTAGTTTTATATTAGTTTATATTGGTTACATGGCGGACATTGCGTTCTCTCGCTCTTATCAACATCCTTAAATACCTGTGCTATATGACAATATAAAAGCTGTTTTAGTCCGTGTATGAGATTTGACCTTTGGAACTCTGTTGAGGTCTGTTCTGAAATGAAAGCATCAGACTTGACATCATTCGCATTCGCTATGTTTTTTAATGACGCGCGACTTGCATTGACAGATGAAAATCCCATCTACCTGCTTACACTGCACACACGAGAACACAGATCTGATTCATATCGGATAACTTTCCACATTAGAACAAGGTCTGAATCTGATTTGGGTAAATCGTAATCCATGTGATTTGTTCCTGCTTACACATACATGGGCCACATCTGATCTGTGCCACATGGGAGAAAAAAATAATAATTTCGGATTTGAGTCACTTGAACAGTGCAGTGTAAATGCGGCCTTAAAGTACAGTAGGTTACATCAGTGAATCTGAGTGTATTAGATAGCATTCATGCTGCTCAAGTGCTTACCTTTAGCACAGCTATGAAGGGCACAAAGTTCACCCTCTGTAATCCGTTTTTGTACAGATCTGTAAAACAAGATTTTGTGTTTAGTGCAAACAAAAAACCTCCTGTGAAATTGTTTTTCTTTTTTTAAATATTTCCCAAATTATGTTTAACAGAGCAAGAAATTTTTCCACAATTTTTCCTATAATATTTTTTTTCTGGAGAAAGTATTATTTGTTTTATTTTGGCTAGAATAAAATCAGTTTTTTTAACCATTTTAAGGTCAATATTATTAGTCCCCTTAAGCAACTTTTCAAGCTGTCTGCAATACAAACCATCATAATACAATTACTTCATTACCCTAACTTGTCTAATTAACCTAGTTAAGCCTTTAAATGTCACTTTAATCTGAATAATAGTATCTTAAAAAATATCTAGTCAAATATTATTTACTGTCATCATGGCAAAAATTTAATTAATCAGCAATTAGAAATGAGTTATTAAAACTATAATGTTTAGAAATGTGTTGAACAAAAAAAAAAAAAAAAAAAAACTTCAACTGTATTTTTACGTAACTCTTAATTGAATAATTTTTGCAGATAACACAATTCTTTTTAAATATCACTATTCAAAATGTCGGATAATAAGACAAGCAATCCTCATACCCTTCAGAATGCGTGTAAAACTTGCGTAAATTCACTGCTGGAAGATCATATCAACATTCTGAGTCTTTGCTGGATCGATATCTTCTTACCATCTGGAGGGCGATTGGACGTGGCAACAACTACAACCCCATTCAGGAAGAGGTTCTCAAAGAGCTGCTTGAGGATCATGGCATCTGCAATGTCGGTGACCTGATGAATAGAGAAAGCAAAAAATAAACAAATCAACTCTCTCTGTACGTTTGATTGTCATTGCATGGATTATAAGATAACATAAGCAGACTTCAAGAGGCAGAAACAAATCACAAAGGCTTGATTAGATTACAACGATGCAATAGAAAAGTGAAACATTCACCTGAAACTCATCAAAACACAGCAGGCAGGCCTCTTCACTGATTTCTTCAGCAACCGGTGCGATAGGATCGTATGCCTTTGCCATTCTTCCCACTTTTCTCTTGGGCAAGCTTTGTTTGAGCCGATGGATTCCTACATAAACATGAGTCTATCTGAGTAAGAGTAAATAATAGCATTTTTACTATTTTGCCGTCTGTATATCATCTATATACAGAACTTGAAATCCTACACCAGTTATTTTGAGATTTCAGGAATATTTTCAGACATGTTAAATGATAGACATTTAGTCACTTTCTGCCTTTTGTATATCTCTTCATACAACAATGTCTATAGGCATGAAAATATGTTGATGGTGATGGTATAATAATTATAAATGTTGTAAGGTAAACAAGAAAATCATGTAATTGTTTTTATTACTATAAATAGAAAACTATCAGAATTTAAGTATTATCAATAGACATTAGGCTTTTGCCAATGTCAAATGTCTTGTTGTGAGTAATTGCTAAAATTACGGTTTAAGGGATTATCACGATATAGAACTAAGCTACAGAAAAAAAGCTACCTTATCAAGTATAACACGAAAAAATAATTTGTTTATTGCTGTATTATATTAGTATATACACAGAGTAAACAAATGTTTCAATTAAATTTATATGCAAAAGGATTATAAAGTACAAAAGATATCACTTATGGCCCATTTCCACTGACTGGTACGGTACGATTCGGAACGGGTCACCTTTATCAGGCTTGCTTTTCCACTGCCAAGGGTACCCTTTTAGTGGGCATGGTGTACGACAGAAAGCTTCAATCGACATTTTTTACTCAAGAAAATTTCTACAGTAAAGTTGTACGGGTGGCTTACATATCATATGCTGAAAAAATAATGTCCTCCTTTTTTTACGGCTTCTCCTTTGTTTTTTCGCGCTTCACTCTCTCGTTTGTCAGTGTCTGACAGGATCGGGTTTCAAAAGCACGTCAATAATCAAGCGCACGGTATTATCATCAGCTCAAGAAGTTTGTTATTTCAAATATAGACACGCAGCGAGCGCAAACAAGAAAACGAATCCGCTCACGCTTCAGACTGGCACGTAAAAAACTAAGGGGTACAGGGTAAATCTGCTCTTCTTTTTGGCATTGTGGCTGTTCATCAAATTATAATATGGATATATATTTACGCTGTAAAAGATCGCTCAGCTGTGTATTTCAAACATGGCGGCTTTTGTTTTCATTCTGCCTTGTTGCAGGAGTGAATGACGTTTCTCTGAAAACCAATAGCGTTCAGCTGTGCGTCTATCTCTGCCTTTTTGGTACCCTTTCTCATGTTTGGTAGCCTTTTGAAAAGGTGCCGAAAAAGTGGTACAGTACGGTTTTTCGGTATGCCTTTTGACAGTGGAAACGGCCATAAAAGCGCACCAAACCGAACCGTACTGTACAACTCAGTGGAAACGGGCCAATAAACTGAAATAAACTAAAATAAAATCTCATTAGAAAAAACAATGCAGATTTATTACAATTACTATGCTAATATTAGTTTAAACCACAAACTGAATTTCATTCATTCATTCATTTTCCTTCGGCTTAGTCCCTTATTTATCAGGCGTTGCCACAGCGGAAAGAACCCTTTCAGCTGCAACCCGGTACTGGGAAACACCTATACACTCTCGTACTTACACACACACTCATACTGTACACTTGACCAATTTAGCTCATTCAATTCACCTATAGTGAATTTCTTTGAACTGTGGGAAAACCGGAGCACCTGGAGGTAACCTACACCAACACGAGGAGAACATGCAAACTCCACACAGAAATGCCAACTCGTCCAGCCGAGACTCGAACCAGCAACCTTCTTGCTGTGCGGCGACAGTGCTTACCACTGAGCCACCATGTCACCCCAACTGAATTTTATTAGTTTGATTAAATAAAATGATTAAAGTTTTCAAACAGAAAACGACTAAAATTAATACATTATTAGGTTTCAAATAAGAATTGAGCATCACATAAGATTAATAAAAGCTTTTGTAGTTTTCATTATGAGTTTAGTTAAATAGCTAAATGTTAAATGTTTATAGTCTAATACACTTTTATGTTCTAATAAAGTTATTTTTTTATCAATAGTTCAGCATGTAGTAAGGCATATTTTCATGTTATAAACACCACTGCAAATACAATATGAATATTCTTCAAAAGCAATCTAAAAGTTTAACTAATAAATAATTTATTACAGTATTTTGAAGTGCCATTTTGCATGTTTATTATCATGGTGGATTCAATTTCTGAATGTCAGATTAGGTATACTACACAAAGTTGAATTCAGAATTATTAGCCCCCCTGTAAAAAAAATTTCCCCAATTTCTGCTTCATGGACAGAATTTTTTTTCAACACATTTATAAACATAATAGTTTTAATAACTCCTCTCTAATAACTGATTTATTTTATCTTTGCCATGATGACAGCACATAACATTTGACTACATATTTTTCAAGTTACTAGTATTCAGCTTAAAGTGACATTTAAAGGCTTAACTAGATGAATTAGGGTAATTAAGCAAGTCATTGTATAACGATGGTTTGTTCTGCCGACAATCAAAAAAATATAGCTTTAGGGGGCTAATAATTTTGACCTTAAAATGTTTTTTTTTTTTTAAATGTAAAACTGCTTTTATTTTAGTCGAAATAAAACAAATAAGAAAAAATATTATAAAAAATACTGCCAAGCATTTCTTGCTCTGTTAATCATAATTTAGGAAATATTTGAAAAAAAAAAAAAAAAACAGGAGGACGAATCAAAAATCATCAATAAATTCACAGCATATTGTTAAAAACTGAACTTACGTTTATGCACATCCAACATGAATCCGTGAAAATGGACCCTTTTTTTTTTCTCCGTCTCTACATGATTAAAAAACATGTCCATAACCATAGTTTTTCCTGTGCCTGTACATGAGGAAATATACAATTATTAATTAATAACAATTATTTCTTTTTAAAACAACACAAAAACAAAAACTACAATAAAATGTTGCAGAACTTACCAACATCTCCAAAAATGTAATAACCTTTTGGTGGCTTTCGCTTGGAGATAAACTGTTGCAGATGCAAAGAGAAGTTAGAATTTGTTAAACACTCATTTATACGGTTGAAGTCAAAATTATTAGCCCTTTTTTCTCACTCAAATATTTCCCAAATGATGATTAACAGCGCAAGGAATATTTCACAGTATTTCCTATAATATTTTTTCTTCTGGAGAAAGTCTCATTTGTTTTATTTTTGCTTTGGATTGTTCAAAAGATTGTTAGGTTGCAATAATTAGGGCAACTGGAGCCGGAACACTTCCCAAAAGATAATATAATTTGAACAGCATCTACACTTATGCTAGTCTGTTTTCCATAATCCCAAAGTCTCCATAATCCTAGACCAGGCCATATCCTGAACATTTTTCACAGTATTTCCTATAATATATTTTTCTTCAGGAGAAAGTCCTATTGTTTTATTTTGGCTTAGGATTGTTTAAAAGATTGTTAGGCTGCATTATTACGGCAACCGGAGCCTGGAACACTTTACAAAAGATATTATCATTTGAACGGCATCTGCGCTTAAGTTAGTCTGTTTTTCATCATCCCGAGGTCTCCATAATCCTAGACCAGGCCCTATCCTAAGGTGCTGTGGTGGTCATGAAGGAGCAGAGAGCATGAGACAGATTCCTGAAAGACCCCAGTGACAGACGAGTCTCCGCATTGATCTCGAGGGCCAGCCTGCACACCCACTGGTGACCTACTCGCACCTTCTCCACAATGGATGTCCAGCGTTCTCCAGCCTTCGACGCCTAGACAAGTTTGGCCAGAGGAAAAATGGTCATGCCCAACTGAGCCTGGTTGCTCTCTAAGCTTTTTCCTTCAATTTCATCAGTTGATGAAGTTTGTTTCTCGCCAATCTGAAAACTGGACTGACACAATTTCAACTTACTAGAACTTCTATGTCAAGCTGCTTTGACACCTTCCATAGTAAAAGTGCTATAGAAATAAAGATGAGTTAAATATAATATTTTTTTCTTCTGGAGAAACTCATTTTTGTTTTATTTCAGATAGAATAAAAGCAATTTTTTTTAATTTTAAGCCATTTTAAGGTTAATATTATTAGCCCGTTAAGCAGAAATAGGAGAAAAAATATACAGGAGGGCTAATAAGTCTGACTTTGGGCCCTATCATACACCCGGCGCAGTGTGGCGCAAGGCGCTGCGCAATAGTCTTTTGGTAGTTTCAGCTTGGCGCAAGAATCGTTTTGAGGCATAGCGCTACGCCGTTTAAATAGCAAATGCATTAGCGCTCATTTGTGCGCCCATAGGCGTTCTGGTCTAAAAAGGAGACGTTCTGAGGCGGACCACTGGTGCGTTGCTATTTTGAGAAACTAAAATAGATTTTTCATTAGACCAAAACAAACCCGGTCTAAACTCTGGCGCAGAGTTGCACCTTGCTTACACACTGCTTAATACACACAAGAGAGCAATAGGCAAATATCTTTACATATGAAAAAATGTAAATATTAAGAATATATATAGGATACAATAAGAATAGATATAGGATATAAATATAAAGGATTAAAATATTACAAAACATATTATTTTCTAGCCTATATAAATATGAAAAATCACTGCTTTAATGTCTTCTTCATCTCGAGAGGCTTTTTCAGTTCATTCATAACAATTTGCTTTTGTATAATGTTATTATTATTAGCAGTATTATTTATTATATCCATATTTATATTTTTTATATCGTTTTATTAAAAACAAGCTTAGATTTGCCCACCTGTCAGGTTTTAGACCATATGGGGTATGGCAGGTGTATTTGGAAATAACTCAGTATTTTGACCACACTTGGTCATTATTGTTCATTTATTCGTTTGCTAGAAATTAGAACTGAATTTAGAAGTAGATTTGAAACGAATATTTGCGCTTAAACAAAAGTATTTATTTATAGACTAATTGATGTCTGTGCGTAAACGTTTCCCTATCCAAGAGCGAATGTGAAAGTAGATTCATTATCTCTCATTCTCACGCAGTAGATGCTCTGTTGAACAGTTTTCTGTTAAAAAACTGTTAACTGTTAACTGTTTGCTTGTGAAATGCTCATTTTTTTCACTTAGACTTACTTTGCGTCCTGTAAATAGCGAATGCGCTCTTGGCGCGACGCAGCTGGCTCTTAAAGGGAATGGGAGATGAGACTCTAATTGGTTTATTCTCAAAACACACCTATAACTCATTAAGAAAATAAACTCAACCCTTTTAGCCCATGCGCCTTGGTGCAAAGCAGGTTTTCCCGTCCGTAAATAAGCAAAAATGCATTCTGCCACGCCCTGAAATCGTTTGCGCCCTGCATTTTGGGCTCTGCGCTTGGACCGTCAAAATAGAGCCCTTTATCTGTATATAGTCAACATTTGAAATGGATCAAACCCTTATATCAAAGCTGTCCATAAACTATAGAACGACACCAATTCTTGTCTTGGGACAGTTTTTTTATCCACTTCAAATGTTGACTGTATATTC